GAGACAAAGTATATGTGAACTGCTGTATGAAAAGTGAATTTACTCTGTAAATCTTCACCCAAATCCTAATTTAAAAAAAAAAAAAAGAAAAAAGAGTAAGTTTCAGAGTCTCTTTTGACATCTGTTTTGGTCTTATCTTCCTTTTCTTGTCCTTCTAATGCTTTTGTCATATATGATGAAGCTCATAGCATGATGATAACACATGTTACTACAGATAAGAAGGCTTTATGTTCTAATCCTGTTGGCATCATGGCTTTTCACCACCTGTCAGTTTCATACTTTGGTGGTTTCTGTGTGGCTGTGATGCTGTAAGCTATGCTACAAGTATTTCAAATACCAGCAGTGACACCCACGGTGGACAGGATTCAGCAGAGCTTCCAGACTAAGACAGACTAGGAAGAAGAACATGGCCAGGACCACTTCAGGGGCAGGGGGAAAGCTACTAAAAAACTTATGAATAGTGGAGGAACCTTGTTTGATACAGTGCCAGGAGATGAGCCCCTCAGATTGGAAGGGACTCAAAATACAACTGGGGAAGAGCTGCCCTCTCAAAGTAGAGTAGACCTTAATGATGTGGGTAGAGTAAAGCTTTTGGGACCTTAATTTGATGATTGTGACAATACTCAAAATGAGGAGAAACAATTGCAAACATCCATTAATAATTGTAACATGGAATGTACAGAGTATGAATCTAGAGAAATTGGAAGTTGTCAGAAATGAAATGGAACACATCTTAATGAGTTAAATCTCAATATCCTAGGCACTAGTGAGCTGAAATGGACTAGTACTGGCCATTTTGAGTTGGACATTCATATGGTCTACTATGCAGGGAATGACAAATTAAAAAGGAATGGTGTTGCATTCATCATCAAAAAGAACATTTCAAGACTATCCTAAAGTACAGTGTTATCAGTGATAGGATAATATCCATGTACCTACAAGGAAGACCAGTTAATACTACTTTATTCAAAATATACCAACCACTAAAGCCAAAGATGAAGAAAGTGAAGATTTTTACCATCTTCTGCACTCTGATTAAACCTACGGTCAAGATGTATTGATAATTACTGGTGATTGGAATGTGAAAGATGGAAACAAAGAGGAATCACTGGTAGTTGGAAAATATGGCCTTGGTGATAGAAATGACACAAGAGATTGCATGTTAAAATTTTGTATGACCAACAACTTTTTCATCACAAATACCTTTTTTCAGCAACATAAATAGTTACTATACCTATGGACATCACCAGGTGGAATACACAGGAATCAGATTGACTACATTTGTGGAAAGAGGTGATGAAGAAGCTCAATATCATTAATCAGAATAAGGGCAGGGCCTGACTTTGGAACAGACCATCAAATGCTCATATATAAATTTAAATTGAAGCTGAAGAGAATTAAAACAAGTCCACAAGAGCCAAATATGACCTTGATTCTATCCCACTTGAATTTAGAGACCATCTGAAGAATAGATTTGATAACACTGAACTCCAGTGATGAGGGAAAGATTAAATGGTTGGCTGCTAACTGAAAGGTTGGAGGTTCAGAACTACCAGGGCAAGAAAGATCTGGTGACCTTCTTTCCTAAAGATAGGAAACCCTGTGAGGCAGTTCTACTCTGTCCTGTGCAGTCACGATGAGTCTGAGTCAACTTGATGGCACAACGGTGGTGCCTACCTCCTACTGTTATTTGAGGTTTGAATGACACATACAGTTCTTAGACTGTTGTTGTCATGTGCCGTCGAATTGGACCTGACTCATAGTGACCCCTCCTTGGGTTTCCGAGGCAGTATCACTACGGAAGTAGATTGCCCCATCTTCCTTCCGAGGAGTGGCTGATGGGT